TTCAATACCATAGAGGGGCCAATTGTGCAGCCACCCTGACATCCCTAAATTAGCTAAATTAGCTGTGAGTCAGATTTTGGGCCAGCTCTCACATTTAATGAGTCCTTGTTTCCCTCTTACAGGGGGCAGAGATATTTTGCCCCTGGGGAGTATAAACATGCTGCCCTATTTCATTCCCAACTTCCAGCTGCCTGCCCCAACCCCAGGTAGGAAAAACAATCCAATGTTGATGTTCAACATCTCTATACCCTTTGAAGGTTTATGTGCAAAAGAAAAAATTAGGTTAATTCTATAAGTGAAATATCTGAATTCAATGAAAAAGAGAAAATCTAGGATTTTCTCTTCTCTGCACAACATACTTAGAGAATCCTAATACAGTATGTAGATGAAAATGTTGGATTCTAGAGCCAGGTGACTGGAGTTAAACACTAGCTTCACTTCATTTTTCTTAATCTCTCTCTCTTCTTTTTTTTTTTTTTTTTTTTTTTTTTGAGACGGAGTCTCGCTGTGTTGCCTAGGCTGAAGTGTAATGGCATGATCTCTGCTCATTGCAACCTCTGCTTCCCAGGTTCAAGTGATTCTCCTGCCTCAGCCTCTCGAGTAGCTGGGATTACAGGCACTGGCCATCTTGCCCAGCTAATTTTTGTATTTTTGTAGAGACGAGGTTTCACCATGTTGGCCAAGCTGGTCTTGAACTCCTGACCTCAGGTGAACTGACCACCTTGGCCTCCCAAAGCGCTAGGATTACAGGCGTGGAGCCACCGCGCCCAGCCCTCTGGTTTTTTGGTTTTTTGTTTTTTTTTAAAGAGATAGGGTCTCGCTCTGTTACTCAGGCTAGAGTACAGTGGCATGATTATAGATCACTGCAGCCTCAAACCTCTGGGGTCAAGTGATCCTTCCTGCCTCAGCCTCCTAGCTAGCTAGGCTTACAGGTGTGTACCATCATGCCTAGCTAATTTTTTTGGGGGGAGGGGGGAGGGGGCAGGTGGGTAGAGACAGTCTTGCTATGTTGCCCAGGCTGGTCTTGAACTCTTTGCTTCAAGTGATCCTCCCACCTCGAACTTCCAAAGGGCTGGGATTACAGGTTTGAGCCACTGTGCCTGGCCTGCTTAATCTCTTTAAGCCATAGTTTCTTCCTTCACAAAACATCGATGATAACAATAGTAACTACCTTATAAAATTAGGGTAAGGATTAAAGGAGATAATACATATAAAGTGCTTAACACAATACCTGGCACATACAGGTTCAAAATATAATGACTTCTATTATCATAATGTTTTCAGTGAATCCTTAAGTTTTATACATTAAAACAAGATTTTTAAAAATGTTGACTTTGGCTAGTGACAAATAGACTCAAATTCACATAAAGCACAGGTGTGTACAGCCATACCAGAAATTAAGGTATCTTTTCTAAGCCTAAGTCCCCAGAGAAATGGCTCCTTTTGCCACTGGAACCAAATTTACCGGTAAAACATATCTATTTTATATATTTGGATCCCCATTTGGTATTTCTTGGTTGCTGACATTGTAGATATCAGCACCTGAAGTAATGCTTCATTTTTCAAGAAATTTGGTCTTCATTTGCTTAAGCTAGCCCTCTCCACACCCATATCCACTTTTGTTTGTCCTTATCTGTGGGATTACAATTTACCTATCACAATTTAACAAAGGTAACCTAACAACTGGAAGGAAGCCCCCAGTGTAAAATCCCCTTATCGTCACAGAACGGTGGTATCCTGGATTTGGAAGGCACCATGGAGATCATATAGACCACACTCTTTTTTTAAAGTTTAGGGAACTGAGGCACAAAAAGAAGTCATTGTCCAAGGTCTCAGAGTTAATAGCAGAGCTAGGCCCAAGAGAAACGGTCACTTGGAAAAGGCGTCTCCTCTGATAGCACAAAGCAAATCCCGGGGAAGATTCATGTAACTATAGAATGGCTGAGGATATTCCTTAGGACTCTTATCTGATACCATCTTAACCAGTAGGATTCTAATTCTTCATGCGCAACAACACTCTAAACAAAAGAGGTTAAAAATCTGGGGTGGGGTATGAAGAATGTTTCTTTGCCCATTACTAGAAAGCAGAAAGGCTCTTTACCCAGCCAAAATAGAATGAATCAATTTTTTTTTTTTTTAAGAGTCAGGGTCTCTCTCTGTTGCCCAGGCTGGGGTGCAGTGGCATGATTACAACTCACTGCATCCTCAAACTATCAGGGTCTCACTCTGTTGCCCAGGCTGGAGTGCAATGGCATGATAACGGTTGACTGCATCCTCAAACACCTGGGCTCATGCAATACTCCCGCCTCAGCATCCCAAGTAGCTGTGGCTACAGGCACAGGCCACTATGCCCAGCTAACTGTTTAAATTTTTTTAGAGACAAGGTCTTGTTATGTTGCCCAGGTTGTTTTTGAACTTCTGGCCTCAAGCATTTTTCCCACCTTGACCTCCTGAGTTGTTGGGATTATAGGCATGAGCCACGGTACTTGGCTGAATCTATTTTTATGATCTGCCAACCGGCTCCTAACTTAAGAGTTTTCTGCCTACATGGGAACCCCCCCAAGGGAAGGAGAAAAGAAATTATTAATGCTGTGGGATAGTAATCATTGGAATGTCTCTAATCAACTACAATTTAATTGATCCATAGTCTAATCAACTACAATTTAATTGATACAAAGATCAAGAGAAATTCCTATGATCTGTAACTATACACAACAGTATGAATAAATCTCACAAACATAATATTGACAGAAACTAGACAAAAAAGAGTACATACTGTGCAATTCTACTTATATAAAGTATGAAACCAAGCAAAGCTAATCTCTGCTGTTAAAAGTCAAGACAGTTGTTATCTTTGGGGATTTAGGGTGGGGAGATGCCTCGAAGGGAGTATGAGGGGGCTTCTAGGGTACAGAAATGTTCTGTTTCTTGATCTGGGTGCTGGTTACACAGGTGTGAATTCAGTTTGTGAAAATGCATATAGCTATTAAATTATGACAGGCATCCTTTTCTTCAGTGAAATGTAATACATAAACAGTCCTATGAGAAATAAGTTCTTCCTCGCACTCTAGCATAGTAATACACAGCTTAAGGAAGTCAACCCTGAGCGCATGGCTAAGAATATCATTCGCAGACAAATTTTTTTCATGGAGGTCATACGCCCCACACCTTGTATACGTGCCATGTACCTAGTGCTTTGGTAAAATATACATGGGGCACTTGAAGAGTCAGGAACACTCGTGGCTTTGATATCTGGCTGCCTTCAGTATAAGCATCTCTGAGATCTGGAGAGGCTATTAAATTCTCTCAGCTTGGTTTTTCTCTGACCTTCTAAGGTTGGGAGAAAAGGGAGCTGAGAGACTGGGTGAAGTCTAGCTAGGTGAACAGATCTTATAAAAGTTGTTTTCTCAGATGAACAAAGAAAATGGAGGAGGAAACTATCAGTCAAGCCCTTTCCTTCTTGAGATAGTCTAAAAGTGGCTGTCAAGGTCATAGAGACAAGCTGTCAAAATTTCACCTAAATAAGTTTTAATTTTAGTCACACACATGCATCATGAAGTATTGCAGAATAATTCAAATTAATGACAACCAAGCTGAAGCTGATGCTGGAAACCATGGAGGAGATAGTGAGAAGTACCCTCACCCCGAAATGAGGTGTGGCCCCAACCACAGGACAGCCGGGCTACTAAAAATAGCCAGTGAGCTCTGGGAGGAGTTATCTTTCTCTGTCTTCTTTTCTTCGACAGATGATTTTATCCTCAATATTCTGTCTCTAAGACACAGGGAAAGCACCTTCACGGATGCAATTAGGTAGATGGAAGATTCCAAATCAGTTATTTGATCAGGTTGGTAATTACAGAAAAAAATGGGGTATTAATTCCAGATCTAGTGAAATCTGGAAAACTTCCTAACTGAGAATTGGAAGGCTGATCAAGAGCTTTGACTGTATTGACTACAATCCTGTTTACCAGTCTTTTCTCTCACACTTTCAAATTTTAATAATGGATTTTGTCACCTGGAAGCTGATGAATTCTAAGTAGCCCTCTATCACCTTTTTCTACCTATAATTTATAGGAAGATTATTTGCCTTCTGAAAAGTCTTCCGGGGATGTCAACGCTTCAATAGTAGACATGGTATATCATGCAATGGTTGGGGTCTTCACCGCTGTTTGTAACCAAACCTCATGAATAAATGATTCCACTTTGAGCTCAAGCTGAGACAGCTTAGAAAAGAGCTTCCTGGGTTTTCAAGAGGCTAGGTCCATCATTGACAGGTAAGGTGAATTGGCTCCTTAAGATTATCACGATTATTTTGAGTTTTCCTTAGTCAAATTGTTCAACCTATACCCAAGGAAGTATGATAACAATTGAGTTCCGAAAGCATTCAGAGACCCAAAGACAAAGACATATCACGATAAGAATAACCACACTTTTGAGCTTACCTTGGCCAAGATGAGACCCTGGGAAGAAAACTAAACTAAAAACATAAACATATATGAGTTTGCTAAATGAACTAGAATAGGAAAACATAAAATGACACTGTTGGCCACTTAAGCTCAAAAGCTTCACAAATCACTTTAAGGAAACTTCCCAAAACACAGTTTTTGTTAATAGATGCAGCTTATGAATTATGGTACCAGTCCTGGGTTTGTACCTTGCAAATGGTTCCTTTCCCAAGGCTACTATTAATTCAGCTCAGAAAGGAAGAAAGGAATGCCAATTCAAATATTTTTTTCTCCACAAGTATGTGGTAGGGAATGACTAGTAGAAAGCCTATGAAGTGGGCCAATAAGATATTATTTCTTTTATTTTTCCTTTCTAACTTTTATTTTAGGTTCAAGAGGTATATGTGCAAGTTTGTTACATGGGTAAATTGCATGTCACAGGGGTTTGGTGTACAGATAATTTTGTCACCCAGGTAATCAACATAATACCTAATAGAATTTCAAGAATGTCATTGCTCCACCCAAGAACCTCTGTGACTAGAAATATCTCTGTACCTTTTTAAAGAGTCTTCCTGAGTCCTCGCTGACTTGCACAAATCGAGGAATGATGTTATTCAGGTAGATGTCACTCAGGGTGGTGTGGTCCCTGCTTTCCCGTTTCACCTGGTTCAAGAGGAGATTCCAGCAGTTGACTGGAGAGAGAACATTCTGATCCTTCCTGTGGAGAAACATCAAGGAAAAGAAGTCATTGTTGATACGCAGCCAGGGCAACATCTACAACTATAGTCCGTGTCCTAAAATCACAGCAATCAAAGCCAATCCAGAAATAAAGATATTTTTCCTGAAGCTCACCTTTGTAGTTTTCTCCTTTTCTAAAAACTCAGTGGAGAAAAAAGGAGAAAATAAGGACAAGAAGGAGAGAGGGGGAAGAGGGGATGTAGAAGGAGAAACAGGATTATCAGGCACCTACTATGTTCTAAGAACTTGGTGAATATGTTATACGTATTATCTCATCTAAGCTCTATCATTTCATTGTAAGAAAAGAACTACCATTATCCCCCTTCTACTGATTAGAAAACTGAAGCTCACAGAGGTTGTCACTTGTCTACAGTGAGTAAGACTAACACAACAAGTAAGAGGGTGCCAGGGACTAGAACAACAGTTCTGCATTGTCTGGCTAGACCAGGTCTAAGGTGATTTTGAAGTCCATCACTTTAGCCACTAAGTCATTTGGTTTATCTCTAGGGTAGAAACCAAAGTTAGAGATTTTGTCTAGAGACAAAAATCACTACAGCACTACAAAATGCCCACAAATTTATCCATTGTAGGATTTAATAAAGGCAACTTTGGAGACGTATGCCATTAAAACATTACTGAAAACTCTGGAGTTCCACAGAACATATCTAAGGAAGTTTTGATTTCATTTATTGAGCCATAATCTCATGTCCCATACAATCAAGAACACAAACCATACCTGAACATACGTGTTCCTAAAATGTCTACAGCTTGAGTGGAGCAGTAAAGTGCTAAACCAAGGTACTCCTTTTTTGTTTTTTGAGACAAAGTCTCACTCTGTCGCCCAGGCTGGAGTACAGTGGCACAATCTTGGTTCGCTGTAACCTCTGTCTCCCGGGTTCAAGAGATTCTCCTGCCTCAGCCTCCCTAGTAGCTGGGATTATAGGCGCCTGCCACCACGCCCAGCAAATTTTTGTATTTTCAGTAGAGATGGGTTTTCACCATATTGGCCAGGCTGATCTTGAACTCCCAACCTCAAGTGATCCACCCACCTTGGCCTCCCAAAGTGCTGGGATTACAGGTGTGAGCCACCACGCCTGGCCCCAGATGCTCATTTCTAATGAAAACATTGTGATCCAAAAGAATTATTGACTAACTTAAGCAACTTAAGCAACAGAAAGTTGCTTAAGTTAAGCATTAACTTAAGCAACAGAAAGTTCTACATTTGGAAGTTGGATTTCTTTAAGGAGAAAAACAAAAGTAGGAATAATTTGCAGTACTATTTATCAAGGGATACTGTACACGTATCTGGGCCCTTTATACATGTTGTTTGACTTAAACCCCACAACTACCTGATGAGGTGGGTGTTTATTAACCACGTTTGGCAGATGAGGAAAAGTGGACTAAAAATTTTTAAACACTTTGCCCAAGGTCATATAGCTAAAAAGTGGCAATTCCAGAATTCAAACCAAGCCTATAACTGCAAAGCAAGTATTCTCATTCACTGCAAATAATAACGATCTGTTTCTTTCCCTCTTTCCTCTCTTCCTCCCTCCAGTCAAACTGCTACTACAAAGAAAGTGAGCTGAGAGTAGCTTAGTTCTTGAGTCAGTACTGCCTCCATTCAGCACTAAAGGCGAGGCACTTTGTGATTTGTAAAGGGTGAAGTTCAACTTAGACTTTTCCAATTCTGTAGTAAAAACTATTAACAAATTATCATGCCACATCTACTTGGACTTCAGAAAACATCAGACAAATCAAATATCTGTCTAACCCAAACCAAGAAGTTACTTCAAACCAATTAATATTAGAGTCCAAATTGAAAATATTCTAAACCTGTATCCAGGTCCCCACCCCCTGCCCCAGGCATCACTCTTCTGTAGCCAAAATCACTAACTCTTAAGACAGCCAATCACTGTGACAACACTTACCTTTTGAGAGAAACTGAAAGATTTCTATGGAAATCAAAAATATACTAGCTGAGAGGAAGACAGACATATAATTAATTTACTCCTTTCAAAATGTTTAGTATCTGGGAAAAAAAAAGTGAACAGGAAACAATCCTAAATTCAAAATGGTAAGATATTTGAACACATGCATTCCATGGCATCTGATGTTTCCACTGCAAGAAAACTTTCAAAATGATTCCAGTTAGATTTCAGTTACAAAATTCTAAATAATCTAATCTACATTTTAATCAAGTGGTGTCTCTCGACAAGATACCCATGTCCTCAGTAAGCATGCTTTTTAAAGGAGCAGATCTCATGAGACTTTACATTGACAATTGGTTTAAATCTGTTTCTTAAAGGAGAACATGGATGGGGGGGTCTATACAGGTTCTTTCCCTATAGCACTTTACATACACACAAATGATGCCACAATTCAATTCCACAAATGTACAAACATTTGTATCTTAAATGAACAAGGCACGGTGTTAGGGGCTTTAGTGGTTATAAAAGTACGAATGCTGCAATATAGCAAGGGAGACAAAGAAAGACCTATAGTAAAATAGAACTTTAATGGCGGTACAGACAAAGGGCCAGCTAGCTCAGAAAGGTAGACTGCAGATCAAAAGAGGAAGCAGAGGGGTCAAAACCAACCTAACACCATGGGAAAGGATGCAGAGCACATATCCCCAGGGTGTCCTCAAAAGAAAGGATGAGTGAACAAAGGTGGGTCAATAAAGAGGATAGCTGGCAGTAGAAATCTTTTAAAATGAAATGCCTTATCACTTAATGCTAATAAGTTTTATTAAGACCTTGTAAGGTGTGGCTCACACCTGTAATCCCACCACTTTGGGAGGCCAAGGCAGTGGATCACTTGAGGTCAGGAGTTCGAGACCAGCCTGGCCAACATGGCAAAACCCCATCTCTACTAAAAATACGAAATTACCTGGGTGAGGACGGTGCACACCTGCAATCCCAGCTACTTGGGAGGCTGAGGCAGGAGAATCACTTGAACCCCAGAGGCAGAGGTTGCAGTGAGCTGAGATCATGCCACTGCACTCCAGCCTAGGTGAGAGCAAGACTTCGTCTCAAAACAAACAAACAAAAAAAGAAAATAGAACTTGCAAGGTGCTACAAGTACTTTTACCACATGTATTTATTTCTATTCTTACAGCATTTTGTGCAATAGTTACAGTATTAGTATTGGTTTCAGTGAGCAGGAGCTTTTAAACTGTGTTCTGAGACACTCTGGAATTAGCAGAAAATCACATTTCAATTTAAAAAATGGTGACACATCCATTCATATGAGCAACCCTTATTGACATGAGCAAGAGACCCAGGACCCAGTTTCCCTGCATTAGATACCACCACAATGTCTCGCAGGCTGCTAGCATTGTTCTATGCAAACCCTGGAAGAAAGAATCACTGTATGCCTTGGAACTTCTGAACAATATGCTATTGATTAGAATACATGTAGCTTTGCATAGGCTTATTTTTTCATTCAAGCCTATGTGCACCTCCTCCAATAAAGCTGTACAGGTGAGCCTATAACTTGACATACAGCAGCAAGGTTTAATCACATGCCATAGAAGGCTCAAGGGCCTAGGCTGGGTTCATGTTAGACTGTGGTTGGGTAGTGAAAATCAACATGCTTAATATCATACCATCTCATTGTCAGTTGTTGCAATGCCTATTATACATGTTGGGGCTTATCCAATTAATATTTATGAAGGGGAATAGCTGCTAGGTGATGATAATGACTCAACTTTAAAACAAAAATATCTTCTTTTTTCCGTCTAAATCAGTTTAAAGCTCAAGATTACAATAACTCATCTATGCTAATCAGAATTTTCTTGATATTGGGCTACCTAAACCAAAACCAGATGCTGAAATGAATATAAAACTGTAACTGATTCATAATCCTGATCTCAATATTTTTAGTTCATGAAAATAGCCTCATTGTTCTCATTGACTGATGGTATAATAAGTACTCTATAAATTTGTACTTTAAAAGTAGATTTATACCAATAAAAATACTGCTTTGATCTTTTTCATATATTCAGGCTCTATGCAAGACTTTTATTTTAAGAAAAGAGTCTATGCTTTAAAAACCAGCACTAGATGCTGTTGTCTGTTTCTTCTAGGAATTCTCAGCCTCTCCTACTATTAATGCAGCTTTTCACACAATATTTCTGGTCCTTTGAGTCTGTAAGCTTTCTCAGACATATTCTTCCTTTCAACTGAGGTGTTTTAATTAATTCATTTATTTATTTTTGGGTGGTGGTAGGGCAAGTAAGGTAGAAAGTGGGAGGAGGGGATCACAAATATACAGACAATTTTCCCAGCCAACACGAACAAAGATGAAACACACTTCAGGCTGGAAAATAAGCAAGGCAAAGAGACGTGATTTCATAGGGAGCATATTAAGGCTCTGCTAGAGTGGTTTCCTGCTCCAGAAGCTTTGCAGCCTCATTTTATTGGGGATCGCTGGAGCCAAGGGAACTTCGTTTGGTTAGGAGATTGAAATTTGTCTTTATATCTTTTCCATCTATCATTTGTTTGCACAGTCTCTTTACTTTCCCCACCCCCAGAGCCTTAGGTTGTATAATACTTGGGCCTTTAAAGGAAAGGGTCTGCATCCCTTAGGAATGTGCTGAACAGCTGCAAACCTCCTCAAAAACTAATCCCTAAAAAGCAGACAAAATATCTAGGAGTATTTTTCTTAAAATTTTTTTCAGGAGGAAGATCAAGAAAACATCATACTGTACTTTAGAAGGAATGACTCTGGAGTCAAAAGAAAGGAGACCTGGAAAGTCACAGGCTGCCTGTACATCTGCTGAAGACATTATCACTGTAAATGCACTGAAAGAGATAAACCTGCACAGTTGAATCATTAGCTTCGAAGACACTAGCCCAGCTTTTCTCCCTCAACTTGGACTATTTATGGACATTCAACAAACTTAGCAACAAGCGCTTAAAGGGATTTCTCTAAAATATCCATGGCAAAGAGCCAAGTCCATAAAGGTCCAAGTTGGCC